GTAAGGCGCCCTTAAAAAAAAAAAAAAGATGGTTGAGTTGGAAGTAGAGCTTTGTGACATCAGAATTTGTGTGGGTGAGCCCTTCCGTAACGAAGTATTTACAGTATGGGAATCGTTAGTGCTGCTACGGGATTAGCCCCTTCAGTTTACAATTATCCCCATTTCATTTATGATTATTCCTATTTATTATTATTCCTATTTTATTTACTATTATTCCTATTACAATAATTCCCATTTAATTTACAATTATTCCCACTTAATTTACAGTTATTCCCATTTAATTTACAGTTAATTATCCCTATTTAATTTACAATTATTCCTACTTAATTTACGATTATACCAAATTAATTTACAATTATCCCCAATTAATTTACAATAATTCCCATTTAATTTCCAATAATTCCCATTTAATTTACAATAATTCCCATTTAATTTACAATTATCCTCATTTACAATTATTCCCGTTTAATTTACAATTATTCCTACTTACAATTATCCCCAATTAATTTACAATTAATTACCCCCATTTAATTTATGATTATCCCTATTTACAATTATCCCCAATTAATTTACAATTATCCCCAATTAATTTACAATAATTACCAGTTAATTTACGAATGTCCCCATTAATGTGGAAGTTCCCCTGGGCAGCCCCAGCCCCGTTTCACAATGGACTCATGGGAAAACCACAATTTTCATTTCCTCCCCCCTGCCCCTTTTCCTCTTTAGCGAGGAATCGAAACAGCCTGGAGAATCCGAGTCACAAAATTTTGTTTTCCCCTGCCCGCACACGGCTTTTGCTGGGAATTTCTGCAGAAACCCCCCCCAAGTTTTCGATTCGCAGTATGGAATTTTTCAACTGATGGCTCCTGCAGGATTTGGGGGCAGCACAGGACCCTCTCAATCCCCAGAGCGGGGGTGACACTTACTTATCTCCGCCTCATTGTCCCCTAAAAGGAAAAAAAAGGAATAAATCATGAGAAGCCGGTGCTTTTGGCCTCGTGCCGCGCCCCTCGCTTACCCCTGAAGCCGTTGGGGTTTTTAATTTTCTTTTTTCTATTTTCTTTTTTTCAATTTTCTTTTTTTCAATTTTCTTTTTTTTTTCAATTTTCTTTTTTTTCAATTTTCTTTTTTTCAATTTTGAGGGTTGGACTAGATGACCTCTAGGGGTCCTTTCCAACCCAAAACATTCTATGATTCTATGAATTTTCTTTTTTCAAACTTTCTTTTTAAATTTTCTTTAAAAAATGTTTAATTTTTATTTTTAATTTTTATTACTTTTAATTTTTATTTTTAATTTTTATTTAAAAATTTTATTCTTTTAATTTTTTAATTTTGTTTTTAATTATTTTTTTTCCCCCCTACTGTTGCTGCTTTCTGCTTAAAACCGCATCTTGCCTCAGCTAAATTAACATTTTTTGTGGGCAAAAAACACCGGATCCGGCCAAAAAACCCCCCCAAGTATCAATGGGCAGCGGGGTTTTTGGGCTCTGCGGTTTGGTCGTCGCTGCCGCGGCTGATGTTTTCTATTTGTTCCCTTCCTCTTGGGCAGCTCCCAGCTGGCGGCTGCTGATGAGCTCATCCGTAAAAATAGCAAAGGAGGTGGTGGGATGATGGCAGCGGGGTGGTACTTACGGATTTGTGCGTCCCGCTCCTCTAAAAAAACCGACAAAGAAAGACAAATTAAAATTTTAGAGATAGAATTTACCAGGAAACCAATGAGGTAATGATAGATATTGATCTTTTTTGCGGATCTACCGCTAAATTTGATTAAATTAGAAATTGCCGCCTTAAAAGCCTCAGATACGCCGAGATTAACAACAAAATCCCCAAATAAATCCATTTGGAGCAGAGCAGGGGAATTCCTTACCAAGTTCCGCCGCGTGTTGCCCTTCAAATAGAGAAAAAAAAAAAAAAAAAGAAAACAGGAATTTTGTGACGTTCGCCTGTTCCCGATGACATCAGAGGTGATGAAATGCGCGGGGTTAAATCTCGTGGTTAAAAAAAAATAAAATAAAAAGGCACTTACGAAGTTTTCTGTTGCAGTCCCCTAAAATCAACAGAAAGAAATGAAATCAACAGGAATAGATGGAAATAAATGAAATGAATGAAATAAATAAACAAATAAATGAAATAAATTAAATCAACAGAAATAAATCAACAGAAACAAATGAAATCAACAGAAACAAATCCGCCAGAACACAAACAAACCAACGTCCAATTCCGACACAAATAAACGAATCAACGGCAGCAG